ATATTAGCCTAAACTGCCACCCCCCACCCCTATGGCAAAAGGGCATAACTGACATCTTTGGCGAAATTGAGTTATATAGCCTAGTGGGGTCAGTACATCAAGCTACATATGTTGACACAAACAAAAATTGTAAAAAAGTGTCTCCCGGGCTAGATAGGGGCATGGGAAATGGGCATAACTACACAATTTTCAGTAAATTCCCAAGGCAAAAGGGAATAACTGCAAAGATAGGCTGTGATACGCTGAAGCGTGACGTTCTTTCAACAGCCAACCAAGCAGAAGAGAGCTTTCTCCCTGGTAACAATGAAGGTTGCTTGTTTTATTATTTTTTTTATTAAGTTTTATTATTTGTATTATTCTTACTCTTTGTGTACTCACAGTTTGTAAATAGAAAATGGTTAAATAGTATTCTTCTTGACAGCAGCATATGTCTAGTTAATGTTAGGCAAACAAGATAAGTTAATTTAGGCTATATAATCTGGCCTTACTTTGAATGGCATACAGTTTAATACTATGGAAATAAATCTATGGGAAAATAGTAACTGTTTAATAAAAATAATTAACCATGGCAGAATAACAATTCACATTTAACTAGAGATAACAGTGGCAAAGAGGGACAGCTAAAATGATTATTTAGCAAATAACTATGGCAACGAGGCACAACTACAACATTTATTCAGCAAATAACAATGGCATAAAGGCACTACTACTTCGTTTATTTATAGCAAATAACAAGGCAAAAAGATATAACGGCACAGTTTAATCGAATCAACTGTGTTCACTAAGCAAACAACAACTTATTTTTCCATCTGAATCTAAATATATAATACATTTTCTAAATATTTTATTAGAATATAAAAAAACCAATAATATTTGTTACCATTTTATTATTAGTTGAATTTGGATCACAGAGAAGAATTTCTAATAAAAATAATAATAATAGGCCTAATTTATAATGTAATTACATGACTTAAAATATATATTTATTATTTTACTTTGTAAATAAAATTTATATAAAATAATTGTAATGCTTGTTTAACGTTTACATAGAAAGTCACACGTGCATTCTAACTAAACAACATTTCTATTTCACATACGCATACATCCTTCACGCAGTGACGTAACGCCTACTCGCTCTTCTGCCGGGCCCCGACCCCTAGGGGTCCCTAAGGTCCCCTACTCACTTGGTCCTCGATCTAACACCAGGCTTTGTTGATACATAATAGCATACTATTGTTAAGTTTATTTCTCGTTTGTATACTTGGTTAGCCTATACATGGGTTTTTAATCGTTTGTAATTTTAGTATTTATTATTATTTATTTTTTATATTTTTTTGGTGTTATTGTACATTTATTTTATAGTCTATACATGACAAACATAATTATGAAATTATATATTTAATTATTTTTTAATCATCTGACTTAAAATTGCGTTGAAAGGAACTATACTGTGTACTTATATCCTTTTGCCAAAGTTTGTCATCATGTCTTAAATCAGAAAACCCATGGCAAAAGGGCATAACTGACATTTTGAGCGCAAAAATCAATATTTATAGAAAAAAATGTGTGCTACACTGGAAGAAATATTATTTGTCTATTTGAATACCGTACATTAACCATGAAATCAAATGCTAAAACACATTTTAGGGCTAAATAAATTACACGTTTTGCTTAATATCTCCAAAACAGCAAATTGTCAGTTATTCCCTTTTGCCATGGGAGGGCAGTCCCGAAGATTACCCAGTAAAAGATGTGATAACATACATTTCATACAGCCAGCGAACAATTATCACCACAATCATCATTAACATCATAGTCGTCATAATATAGTACTTATCATTATCATCATAATAGTAATTATCAAAACATAATAATAAAATAATCATACATAATGTAATAGTAATAAATATAATTATAATAAAATAATAATAAATATGTAATAATAATAATAAATGCATTAATAACAAAAGCCTAATATTATGATAATAGCAGTATTATATTCGTGATTTAGTTGCAGGCTATTCACACTTACCAAGCTCACACCAGTGTTAAGGTCAACTTCTCAGGTCATGCTTGTAGTTAAAAGTATAAAGGTTAACATGCCCAACAAGACCACTAAATAATGTTCCAGATGCCAAATTCTGCATTGAAGTCTGGCATTAGAATTCTCTCAACTTTTACATATAATTTGATCTTTTTTTTTCCTTCAGTAGGCTACAAATAATTTCACATACTTCTATGAATTTGTTTTTTTTTAAATGAATTTAGATTAAATTGTTTGTTACTTAAACATCAATGAAAAACATGTGTCAATATTAAATGAATAAACATCATCACCACAATCATCATTAACATCATAGTCGTCATAATATAGTACTTATCATTATCATCATAATAGTAATTATCAAAACATAATAATAAAATAATCATACATAATGTAATAGTAATAAATATAATTATAATAAAATAATAATAAATATGTAATAATAATAATAAATGCATTAATAACAAAAGCCTAATATTATGATAATAGCAGTATTATATTCGTGATTTAGTTGCAGGCTATTCACACTTTCGTATTAAACCCGGATTTAAAAAAATATACGGTATACATGAAGCTATAAAAAATGGAGAAAAATGCATTATCGTATATTTTTCATTACATAGATTATTGACTTTCTTTTTTTTTTGTTTTTTGTTTTCTTTTTTTTTTCCACTTTATTTTTTCCACTTAATTAAAATTATATTGGTTTTCTGTGTTTTTTTTTTTCTTTTTTACTTTATACGTTTTAACGACTTTTCTTTTTGTTGCAATTTCAACTTCATTTCTCATTAAAGCATTGGAAGAAGCCCTATGTTCTGTTGTTCAAACAGACATAGTACGGTAAGTCTAGTTGTTATTGTACTTTTGAAAAACAAAAAGTAGGTCTATCAGATAATTTTTATAAATAAAATGGTTTATAAAAATGATTATATTATCTTAATACAAAAAAAAAAAATAACACTGTACTGTTAAACGGTCACATGTGTTTTAAAAAAGAATTGCTGTAAATAAAGCATAGAGCGATCGATAATTTTTTTAATTGATAATATGATTGCTATTTTAATTTTAAAACAAAAAATGAATCGGTTTATTTAATAATACATAATAAGTATTTTAAAACAATTCATTAGCACCATATGAGTATACATAATGCTTTACAATGTGTATCAACTCTAAACTAAACTAAACTAAAAACTGCAAATAAAAAATCATTACTGTATACAAAATACAAGGTCGAAGGATTATTAACCAAACTATAATATATTATACAAATTTTGATTATTATTATTAGCATTATACACTTAATGATAGCATTATAAACTTAATATCTTACTAAAAAACTTTAAGAAAAAAAGGAATAATGAATATAAAGAAGGCCGGCCGATTATAAACCATTACAAATTGCAATTATAAATTCCACCATCGTAATATCATGGTTATACAAATAAACGAAAAAAGTCATTATTCTAAATTAAAAAAAACAAGACCGACAAATTATAGATCATAACACATTCAACACAATTAATTATGATTATAAATTGCGACTACAATTAGAATTATAAACTCTATTATTATATTAATATACTACTAAAAGTTAAGAGAAAATAAATATCATTATTCTAAATAATATAAAGGATGCCGAGCGGTTATAAACTAATAACTGTATGTTTCTTTATTCTACAAAACTTTATTATCATATTAAGCTACCAGTAATATAACGCACAAAAATCATTTAAAACATACCTGAGTGTACATTATTTAAACTCATAAATTCAATAACATATATCAAAAGATGTATATCATTTTGTATTTTTTGGTATAGGCCCTAGGCCTATTATTAGATTATATTAATATTTTATATTTTTCGGGTTTAGGATCATAAATATACTGAAAATACAGTAAAGCACCTGATTGGTTTTTAGGGTGGGTTAAATTGAGAATTTGGGTTACTATTAGGGTACAGGAACGCTATTTATTGTCCATAAAGTAGGACTTCAAACTCATGCATAAGATTGTTGATTGTTTTTGTTATACCGTATAATAATAATAATAATAATAATAATAATAATAATAATAATAATAACAATAATAATAATAATAATACATTTTATAATTATAATAGTAATAGTAATAATAATGTCAATGATAATGATAATAATATCAATAAATTAATTAGTATTATTAGGTAATATTTTTATTGGTTGTTAATAAAATTGTTTGTATGATTTTGACTTCTGTTTTTTCTATAGCTAAAATGTATTGCTTTAATAATTGATTGGTTGATTGGCTAATTGATATATTTGATTAGTTGATTGATTATTTAGTTGATTGTTTGATAGGGTGCTAATTAATTGTTTACACATCTTTCAATTGAATAATAATTAAGATGATCAGATTAATGTTACGATTAGCCTATGCCTGCTGCCACAAAACTTATTTATAATTCTAATAACATATACCTAAAATTTACTCTATATAATTTTTAAGCGATACAATACGTATACCTTTTGATATTGACGGTCAAATGTGATTTAACACTGCAACAGTCTAATTCTATGTGTTACTGAAACCATGCACGATTATGTAGCTCAATCGTATACGTATCTCGATGATCGTATTTGGAAATCAATGCTGAAATGTGACTGCTCATGTTAATGTTTTCTTTATGTCTTTTTGTTTTTCTTCTGTTCTCTCTTTTCTGCTTGCTTTTTCTCCCTGTATTCAGCTTTCTCCCTTTGTTTCTTTTTTCCTGAGCACTCCCTTAAATGGCGCATTGTGCCTTGTAAGTCAAAGATTGGATTGGATTGGATAACATACGTCAATATTTGGAGTTTCAATCCATTGCCTTAGAATAATTTTGCTGGTTATACTTCCTATAGACGAAAAAAATACGTTAAAAAATATACCAGTAGAAATTTATGACATAGAAAGTGGGTGTAACTCCTCCGATTCATAACAGAAAAAAAAACTTATGACATAATTCAAATTTAGTGAGGAAAAATAGGCAGAGTACTAAATTCGGCATGGGAATAAAATCTGCAAAAACTTAAGCCACAACTCGAAAGCTGAACAAATCTCCAGTATATAAGCAAAGGAGACGACAAAAAGGGAGCTTTATTACAGTAAAACACTTCCTTAAATTTAGTATCTGAATCGTATTTTTCATTGCTGAAAGTTTAGTGGGCGTTTCTTTCTTTCTTTTCTTTTTTTTTTAATATATATGTATTGATAAGCTTAATTTATAGTCTTTATGGATAAAATATTTAACATAAATAATAATTATCATAAGATAATTTTCAAAAATCATTACTTCTTTTAACATGGTTATCCCAGCCATATTTTTTTCATTTCGTCAATTCAACAGGATTGAATGCATTCGACACGTTGTTCAGGAACAATTTGCAATCGTTGAAAGTCGGCTTGGAAGATTGCTTTTACAACCAGACCAGTGATAATGGTGGATGACTGTGAATGTC